ATGAACAATTAATGCAATAATGTAGATAGAAACCACTTTTTGAAAAACGTGTCAGTATTAGTACCTCATGGGTGACGTAGAAATCTATTGAAATATTTCCACTTAATAAATTTTAAAAATAAAAATTTATTTTTAATAAATTTTAATAAATTTTTTAAATTTTAATAAATAGGGAGAAGAACCTACTCACAGAACCTAATCAGATAGTGCCGCTCCTAACGCTCGGCGGCGCTGGCCCTAGCGGCTGCGGCGCGCGCGGTAAGGAGAGGAAAGGAGGCGTATACCACGGAAATCGGCTGAAATGTTCAGACTAATTCCGAGCACTGCATTAAAGCAATGGACGAACGTAAACCTGTTTTACAATTGTCTGAGAGACAGCAACGTAGACGACTTGCAGCCGTAGTTGTACATGTTAATAATGCTGCTTCGGTATCTGAGGTTGACGTTACAAATAATGACATAAATGTTGAAAGCCGTAGTGTCGAAAACGAATTAATCGCGGAATCTGAGAATGAGGCCGGCGTGACATAGAACCCGTAATCCGTAATCCGCACCGGAAGTCCGCAAAAGTTACTAGGGATTGCGTCCGTAACGTTACGTATGTTTTTTCTCCTTGTGTCCCATGGAGCCGTAAATACACACGTAACGGTATTACTATTTTTTATTTAACAGATTATAATTGTTTATTTGTATTTTATTCATAAGAAAACTACAGAATATATTATAATTTTAACAAAAATTTTAATTAAATTGTCAAATTTAGTTAAATAAATAAAATTAAAAAAAGGATTACTAGTAATAACTAGTAACTTTTAGTAACTTTTACGGAAATTTCATGGAATTACGGCTCCATGGGACACAAGGAGATAAAACACACGTAACGTTACGGACGCAATCCCTAGTAACTTTTGCGGACTTCCGGTGCGGATTACGGATTACGGGTTCTATGTGACGCCGGCCTGAGAGTATTGGAGAAACATGTACAAGTTGTTCTTCACAAGAAAGAATGGATGAGATAGAAGATAATATAGATATAGACGACAATATTAATATGGATGTAGATGAAGAAGATGTTATTGGTAACGAAATACATTTGCCTTCCAAGGGATGAGAATGGCAAAAATTCTCATTGGTATATAATTTATCTATACATGTGTTATGCATATATATTCTCATTATTGTGTATATATTTCATTAAAGAATGATATATTATAATTTTACAGAGACGGTTCTAAAAGAATATCCCAATACGACGAAGAATGAGATACAAAAAAAATTAATGGTATGGTTTCACCATGCTGGTGATAGATGGAAAAGAAAACATATCATCCTAGTAGGTACGGTA